CCTTGAAAACTGCAAGGACTCGTCCAGGCAGTCACCGCAGAGTCGGTAACGACTGAGTGCGTATAAAAAAAAAGAAAAAAAAAGTCCTCGGGTTAAGAACACCCGGTTTAAGGGTAACCCATAGGTAAGAATGGAGCCTACTGTAGCAAAATTCAAGTTAAATACACAGTGTTTTGAGTTAAATACACAATGGTTTAAGTTAATTACACAATACTACTTATACAATAATACTATTCTGGCTTACATACAAATTCGACTAAAAGACAGACCTTGGGAATGGAACTCATTCTTAAACTGGGGACTACCTGCATAAATTTTCACTGAATTTAAGAAATTATACATAAAAAAATCTCATAAAATTTCACAGAACAAAGACTGGATTTTATCTCTACTTTTCCAGAGAACCAAGTAGTGGTTCACAAATCAATTGTGGATCTATTGAATGTGATATAGCATCTGGGTTTGGTTGGAACATCTTCCACAAGAGGAAAATGTTTTGGCATTTGTTAAAAATGTTATGATCCACTCTGCTCAAGAAATTAGAGTGGGATACAAATATAATATGTCAGGTAATTAGTCAAGGTAAAACTTTAGCATTAATAAAAACAAACAACTCTTGGAAGTGCTTGCATCTCTGAGGTTTCAGTGAAATCCTAATTACTTCTATTTTTAATTTCTCTGGCAGGTATATTTATATCCCAATGGGAGGATCTCACTGCAGCATATTTAAGATGTTGTTTTCAACCGCCATCACGTTTGCTTTTGTAAGCTACTGGCATGGAAGCCATAGCTACCTTTGGTCCTGGGCTGTGCTTAATTGGCTTGGACTAACAGCTGAAAATGGAGTGAAGAGGATGGTTTCTTTTCCAGTTGCCCACAATTTTATTGTAAGTTGACTCTTTTTCATGTTTCTAAGAATCATATTTGAGTTTAGGATTAGTTCTGAAGTGTGCTTTCTGAAAGCATCCTAAGCAGGTTGAGTGCTTTTTAGAACTGCTTGTCTCCTAACCATAGAAGTCAGATATGGAACTAGCCCTATATTGCCCCTAACGTTAAGAAAAAGTAGGACTGATTGTATTAATGCGATGTGTTTAACTGGTGAGTGAGGTTTAAGGTGCTGTGCCTACCAAAACTCAACCTACTAACACTGGGAATTAACTGAAAAGCAATTACTTTTATCCTGAAACCAGGCTAAAGGTCTTGGGGTTTAAGCTTACTTCTCTCAGTCAGTCATGTGGTCTGAATAGGATTGAGAAAGTTAATGGAACATTAATTTTCTCTCCTGGCTTCTGAAATACAGGTAGTCCTCATTTAGTGACTGTCTTGTTTAGCAACAAATCACAGTTATGATGGTGGTGAAAAAGTAACTTTATGACCAATCCTCGCATTTACAACCTTCACAGGTCTATAAAGCAAAGAAAAGCTGAAGTAAGATGATAAGCACAATTGCGGTTTCACTTGGTGACCACTTCACTTAACAACTGAGTTGCCAGTCCTAATTGTGATCATGAAATGAGGACTACCTGTAGTAGTTATAAGAATGTGTAAGCTCCTCCCCCAGTTCTGTTTGCAGTGGTGCTGACTCAATCAAACCACTAAAGTGGGGGGTTTTTTGGCAGGGGGGTTGTTGGAGGAAACAAGGCAGGATATTAGAGTCTCCCAGCCTCCTTAGAGGTAATTGGAGGACTTAGAAAATGGCTACACTTCAGTGTCCTGCGTTATTGGCTTCATCTCATTGCTCATGTGATGCTAGACAACCACAATCAGTCTATTGAATGGGGAAATGGCTGATTCTGTCAGTCATGGTATATGATCACAGCCATTACTTATTTTGCTCTTTAAATGTTTGGAAAGATATAAAACTGATCTTTGTTTAATAACTTTAAAACTTGTAGATGCTGCTAAATAACCTACAGTGTAAGTGATCAACCAGCATCTTTGTCTTGTGAAAGGAACAAGCAGCAAATGTTATTGGAAAATCTGATGGCTGGCCTATGGTAGTGGGTTAGGCCTTCATTCTTATCCCCCCGCTTCTGTGCTGTTAATTGCTTAATCCTGGCTTAGATGAAAAGAAAAAACACTACTAGGGACTACATGTAGTACATGATAAAATTTCCTGGATAGTGAGTGAAAAGCTGGAAAGGAGGTGAGACTAGATGGAAGTAGGAATTAGCAAAGAGAAGAAATATATCACTGTAAAATATCAAGCGGGCTAGGAAAAAGGAGCCCATAAATGACATCCAAGGGTGGAATTCAGTGCTATTTTTCCACTTCTTGACTCAGCAGAATCTAGAAATAACCATTTTCTTTTCACCTATAGCCAGTCACTGTGCTGTTGAAACAAGCTTCGACAGTTTGGGTAGAGAAGCCTACCAGACTCTCAACAAGCATGGTGGGAGTTGCAGGTGGGAGAGAGAATTGGCTCCTTTTGTGCCCGCAGACAGAAGAAATTCTGTAACTGATGAGTTGCCTACAACTGGTTATATAAAAAGTGAGCAACAAGCAAAGCTGCATGCAGATGAGTTATATAAGGATTGGCTGAAATTCATCTCAGCTGAAAATTCCCTAGTGGTAAACTTCATGATTTCTGTTTTAGGGAAAAAGCTAAGCCCTTCTCCTCCAATAGCCACAGATGCAGGAATTGGTCAATATCTGGATCACAGAAGGTAATTGTAGGGAAAACTTACTTTGTAAGGACGCAAATAGGGCCTTCCCTGCCCCCACTACTTTTGGTAGTAGTTCATGCCAGTAGCGGACTGAAATGGTAGTTTTATGAGTATATCATTACTATATTTTTTCTGGGGGAGATGGACAGCATATAAATTTAATAATAAATAAATGATATGCCTTTAACCAACTTGATAATTTATCATCTAAGCAAGTTTGGTTAAATAATTTGCTGCAGTTACATATCTGGTGGAGATACAGCTGCTAATCCTCTATCTCTTGTTGTTTCCTGTATGAAATTCTTGACGTATATCACTGACTGTCTTTTTCAAGAGCTTTAGAACAAACCTTGCATGCTTCATTTCAACCCCCTCCCTCCTTTTTTTTTATTCTCAGGAGACCTTCCTCAACAATTCTGTGCTGTAACAAATTGTTATGTGTATTATAAAATAAATTCTTCAAGTTGAATTCAACTCATGGTGATTTCTTGGACAGATCCATGTAGTTTTCTTGGCAAAAATACTTATGTGGTTTACCATTGCCTTCTTCTGAGATGCTTGTTTGAGTTCTGAGGATAGCCTACAGTCATGGGATTCCTGTTGGTCCCCATCCAAGTTCTAAACTGGTCCTACGTACTTAGTTTTTGGAGCTCAGCCAAGTTGAGCTACATGCTGTCACTTAGCTGGGCTATATCCATTATGTCAATAATGACATAAGCTTAAAATAAGATTTGAAACTGGTACTATCTTATCAGAGGACTGTTTATCAAAAAGCACAGCAAGAATTGATGGGTCTAATTGGTATAAATATTTATGCTAATGTATGAGCATATGGCACATATTCCACACAGACAAAGTTCATGTTCCTCAAAATGGCAGCTTTTGAAGTGAAAATTCAGCACAATAGATGATTAAGATGCTGAACATCTTTCTGTACTTCTGTTGCTCTTTCTGCATTGGGCTTGATCATCCAGGAGGCAAAGTAGTACAAACAATATTTGGAGTCATTTTGGTTTTAATAAACTGCCCATTGAAACAAGCAGAAAGATTGTAGACTCTTAGAACACAAAGAGCTTTGCTTTTGGCTCTAGTGACCATTGATCCCTAGTTACTGGTCAGTTACTACTTCCCCTCTGGTAACATAGGCAGAAGTAATGTTCAATTACTTCCAAATATTTTTATGCTTGTCGTGTATGAAATATGGAATCCTAGAAGTTAAGTTAAAGGGCATCTTTGTGAACTAATTAAAAATTGCCTACTATAATTGGATGTACAAGGCATTAAAAGACATTTTTCTTTTTACAGTTTTTAAAAACATTGACTGTATTTAGCACTTCAGCTGTATCAACGTAGTTATAAATATCTGCTCCAAGGTTTGGAAGGGAAATCAATATGTGTATTTGAAACATGCAGCTGGAGATACTCAGCTAAATTTAACCCAATGCTTTAGAAGAAATACAATTTTCCACTAATACCATAATGTTACACTTGATGTGCAAAACAAAAGCAGGTAGGACTGGTGTTGTTGCACAACTTTAATTTTCATAGTCACAATATTTTGCCAGTACGGTGAAAGCCCAGTAGCATTGTACTGATGCAGATTGCTATCCATGTACTAATTAATGTAATTGTTCTGTAAAGAAGCAAAAACAAAAAACATCACATTCAAGAACCGGCCACGTCAGCAGAACTAAGGCTCCATTTATGCAATTAATGTCTAAAGTGAGGCATCCTGGGATGGATGGATGGCCGTATCCTTAGGTGACTAATGTGGTACGGTACTGCACAGCCCTCCTACGTGAGCTGGACTGCGTCTCCCTTCCTGGCTGGTATTCAGCAGTAGCTGATAATAAATGCCTGGGTTTGTCTTCTCTTTCCCTTGTTAGCGGTTGCTAGGGAATAAAACATTCTTACATGGGAATAACCAATACAGTATCCCAAAGATATGGATTGGATCATAACCGTACAAGGCATAAGGGATTAATGCGTTATTTTTGCTCACAAGAGAACCACAGCCTAGTTGTCATTCATTTTTTACCTTAGAACTTGATATTTTAAAAATGCATGAAATCATATATTTCCTCAGAGGAACTGCCTTTTCTGCAGTTCATGGAGTTCCAGGGAAGCTATGAAAGGAATTTGTATTCCAGCATATTGTTAAGGGTGGCCCTCTTGAGCCGCTTCTCAGAAGTTGGCAGATGAAATTTATATGCAGCATCTTTTCTTCCAGTCAGGCACATCTTTTGCTTAAATTCCATGTTGCATTCAGTTTGTTTTTATGAGAAGAGTCCATAGCCAAATATTCAGTACCATTTCTCACCCGAGCAGTGCTGGGTCACACTCTAGATGGACTTCCAAGAATGGCAGACATTCAGTGTATGCCACATTTGAAGCAAATTATAACGGTATTATTATATTCATATATTTCTTTCCTATGAAATCTTAAGCCTTCCATTTTCATCGCAATTCAAAACATCAACTTGTACATGTTTATTTACAACAGCTATTTGTGCTCTTCGCTGTTTTTAAGTACTTTAAGAGCAAGTGTTATATATAACTATATATATAAACTTTATAATAAACTTTATAATGCTATATAAACTTTTTATCCTGGAGGCAATTATTAAAATTGGTTTAAGTTAAATTATCTGTTAGTATTTAAACATGAAAAAATAGTTCATTACTGCACATGGCACAGGCTACAAACTGGCGCTTCTCATAATGCCAGTCCTGTTGGGACCTTAATGTCTGTCTGTCTGTCTGTCTATCTATCTATTTATCTATCTATCTCATTAGAGTTAGGCACCACCTGACTCCAAAATTACTCTGGGTAGCTCACAGTTTAAAACAAACAATATAAAAATACACATTACAACCTAATTAAACAGGTAGCATCCATCCAACGATACACTATATATACAAAGGCATGTCTATTAAGGGGGCCACATCCATCCTACCCCAAGGCCTGGGAAATTAGCCAGGTTTTCAGGGCCTTCTGGAATGCCCTGAGGGTGGGAGCCACATGAGTCTCTGCAAGGATCTCATACCAGAGGCCATGACAGAGAAGGCAGGCTTCCTAGATTCTGATAGATGGCATTGTTTAATTGAGGCGACCCAGAGCACATCATCTTGGCCAGCTCTTACCAAGCAGACAGAAACCGTGGGAGAGTTACAGGCAAAACATGGTGTGAATATTTTGCTATTTGACTCTTGTTACCAAAACATTATAGGTTAGAAACAGGCTTATGCATTCTGAAAGTCCAAAATGAAATTATATCAATACAAATTATTAAAACATATTGGAGACCTATAGCATATCAGGTAATCAGATCCTAAGAGGTTGACAATCTAAGGGATATAATACAAATAATATTTGAAACTAATTGTATACAGGGCAATCAAATAAGTTAATCTATAAAAATTAATATATTCAGTTCAGTGAAAGAAAGATAAAGCAAGTATTGAGAAAGCACCAGAGAAATAGATGAAATATCAAGAGGTGATTCCCTTTACACAGTTGCTCAGCTATAGAAGGAGAAGGCAGAAAACACAAAATAAGATCCTTGCTGCAACAAAGAACGTCAGAATTTTTAGTTTCCTCCCAGATAAAGAGGAAAGGAATGTATAAGATATAGCGTGCGTGCGCTCTCTCTCTCTCTCTCTCTCTCTCTCTCTCTCACACACACACACACACACACACACACACACACACACACA